TCACAAGTAGCTCCTCCTAGTTCACCAGCATCTGAAGGAGAGTAGCTCCTCCCTTTTAGCAGTAGCTCTCAGCAGTAGCTCCTCCCCTTCACCAGTATTTGAATGATAGCAGCTCCTCCCTGTCAGCAGTAGCTCCTCCTCTTCACTAGTATCTGAATGATAGCAGCTCCTCCCTGTCAGCAGTAGCTCCTCCTCTTCACTAGTATCTGAATGATAGCAGCTCCTCCCTGTCAGCAGTAGCTCCTCTTCATCAGTATCTGATTGAGAGTAGCTCCTCTCCATTTGGAAGTAGCCCCTCCCCTTCGCTAGTAGCTCCTCCCCTCATGCTACATTATTTGGGTATTTAAAGTGCACCTATTCTGTTTGAATGTTCAGTCTGATTGCTCTACTTATGACTTATGACTTATACGTATGTGGTTAGGTATACACCCATGGTCTCGTCCTGGGTCTTGATTTAGTCTGGACTGTAATATTGGTGCATTCACAGCCTCTTGTGCCTCATCTGGAGCTGTTATTTCATTGTTGTCAGCTGTACGAATGTCTCCACACTTATCACACATGCATCAGCTCCTATAGCGCTCTGAAAAGTGCTGTCTGACCTATTTTCAGTCGTGCAGTCAGTCCGCTGCTCCTGCACACACTTCTTCTGTAGTTTGTCTCGATTTAGTTTTTTGATAGTAGTCTTTATTGATTTTTTTTTTTACATTCTTGAGCATTCAAAATTTGTCATGCATGACATTTTTTAACCAAATGTGAACGAGCTGAGTTTGTCTCCGTTTTTACTCTGTCAGTGTCCTTTATTTATTTATTTATTTATTTAGCATCTTCTGGACTCCCCTGCGGGTTTACATCTCTATCTGTGCTGCTCTTTTTTTCCTCCAATGTGTGTGTGTGTGTGTGTCTCATGGGAGCTCTGTTTGGTGACTTGTCGCTCACTTGGCATTTCACGAGTTTGCAAATCAGCATGCCTTGCTTATTTCCCTCTCAATGGGTCTCGCCTAATGTCAAGCGCTCATTTGAAAGTCTTTTGGCTCCATATTCCAGCCTCTAAACACTGGCGAATGTGTGTGAATGGATGCTTGCATGCATTTATACTTGTATTGCTATAGTATTGCTGTACACTAAACTCTTTAAAATCATATGAAGGGGGTTTGACCATTTTAACATCAAGAAAAACCTAAGCGAAGTGTGTTTGTTCTTTTAATCGTGAAGTTTGGGGGGTTTTGGACCCCAAATGACCCTAGTGACCCCAACATTAGGAGGCTATTGGAAGGAACTGGAAAAGACAGTTTCACCCAAATATCAACCTCCCACTCTAGATTGTAAAGCTGAAACCAAAGTAACTGAAACTGCAGTTCATAGACTGGCCACTGGGGGCAGGCTCCAACAGAGCAAATTTCCATAGACTTAAAAATGCTCAACTTTTCTGCTAAAAAAAGGTGTTTACAGTCTGGTACACAAATGATTTTGATGTAAATAGCTAATAATACCCTTTATAACAACTGTGAGGGGGTGCATTTTGAATTAGGTTTGAAGATTGAGATTAAAAGTATGTGCTGTATTTTAGAGGTGTAGTGAAGGTGGCTCATTTTTGACCCAAAGGATGAATAACGTATACCAAATTATAGACAACAGGAGGGTTAAAGGCTATTGGAAGGAATTAGGAAAGACTGTTAAGTGTCACCCAAACATCAATTTTCCACTCTACATTGTGAAGCTGAAACGAAAGTAACTGAAACTGCAATTCCTTGACTGGCCACTGGGGGCTGGCTCCAAAACAGAGCAAATTTCCATAGAATTCCATGTTAAAATGCTTAACTTTACTGTAAAAAAAGGTGTTTACAGTCTTGTACAAACATTTTTTTGGTGTATATAGCTAATTTGACTCTTTATGACAACTGTGAGGGGATGAATTTTGAATTAATTTTGAGAATTGAGAATAAAAGTATGTGCTTTATTTTAGAGGTTTATTGAAGGCGGAAGGAATTTGGAAAAACAGTAAGTTTGACCCAAACATTAACCTCCTCCGCTCTATAAGTTTGACCCAAACATTAACCTCCTCCCGCTCTACATTGTGAAACTAAAACGAAAGTAACTGAAACTGCAATTTATCGACTGGCCACTGGGGGCTAGCTCCAAGACAGGGCAAATTTCCATTGACTCCCTTATTAAACGCCCAACTTTACTGCAGGAATTCGGTGTTAACAGCCTGGTACAAAAAATGGATTTGGTGTATATAGCTAATATTACCCTTGATGACTACTGTGACAAGGGTGAAATTTGAATTAATTTTGAGGATTTATATTAAATGTATCTACTTTATTTTAGAGGTTTAGCAGAATTATAGACAACTGGAGGAAGGGCTAAGGGCTGTTGGAAGGAATTGGGAAAGACAGTAAGTTTCACTTAAACATCACCCTCTCACTCACGTTGTGAAGCTAAAGCGAAAGTACCTGAAACTGCAATTCATAAACTGGCCACTGGGGGCTGGCTTCAAAACTTTCAAATTTCCATAGACTCCCATGTTAAAATGGTCAAAAGAATTATAGACAACAGGAAGGTTAAGAGCTATTGGGAAGGACACCAAGTTTCATCCTGCAGTCTATGACAAACGTTATTCTAAATCTAAGAAAAATGCAAGGAAAACGTATACCACACATACACAATCATTAAACATTTATAAAAATCTTTACCCTGACCGAAGGTTTACAATGTTCAGCTTTCAGCGATCTAAAATTGTGTATGGAAGAAAAAGCTGCGGTTTTGAAAATGCCGGTGTTCGTGTCCTGCTCCAGCTCATCTGTAATTATCCGGTAACCCTTGAACACCTTCATTAGCAGGTTCAGGTGTGTTTAATTGGGGTTGTAGGAGGAATCTGAAGGACGGTTTCTCTCTTGGAGCTGGGTTGGAGACCTCTAGACTAACAGACTAATGCATCTGACCTTTACCAGAAATAAAGCGACATCCCATGCAGTCAGAGGTCTCGATAGGTGCCAGACAATGATCCTCAACATCCACAATATATTGGTCGCAGTTGTAGCGGGAACTCACAGCGCTTCATATGCAGTATTTCATCAGGAAGTGCTTTATTAGTGAGTGGAGGAAGTTCAGTGTCTGTTATTGTTATGATGATTGAGAATGACTGAGAGTCACAGCCAGTGTGTGTGTGTGTGTGTGCGTGCATGTGTGTGTGTGAGAGTTTATTGCCCCTCCTCACTGATAGGGTGCATCAAAGGAGAAGGTAATTATGTGTAAGTGCAGGATCATTTTCATGAGCAGCAGGAAAGGGATTAACCAGCGGCGTACCTTCAGCTGATCCCCCATCACTCCATCCCTCCATCGCCCCCATTACTGCAGAGTCACTTTAAATGAGCTTATGAGAGGAGCAGGAAGACAGACGAGTGCGGATGAATGGATAGAGGAGGACGAATGTGAACTTTGTTTTGAGTTTTTCATTACCCTTTGCGGGACCTTTGAGGCCGTGACACATCAAGCAGATGAATGGCTGTTGTTAAAGGTCTCGTGAAGTGCTGTGAAATGTGCATTTTTGCTCAATGTGTGACGTCATTTCAACTTGAACATGGAGAAGGTGGGGCATAAAGTAGCCCCTCCCCCTTAAAAATCAGCCAGTAGTGTATTGTTTTGTCACAGCTCTGCCGGTGAGAGTGGTTGAGCTCAAGTGCATCAAATAAAGGGGGCGGGGCTTGACAGACACTACAAAGCATATGATTGGTCAAGATTTGACTAGATACTTAACGTTACATTAATTCATTTATCCAAAGCGACTAACAACAAGTGAGGATAAAAGAAGCAGTGGTAGTCTCTTCTCAAATGTTTTTGTTAAGTGGTACGGTACGGGTCGGTTTGCTTTTTTTTTTTGTTGCCATTTTCATTGTTAAAAGGTACCAAAAAACGAATCATACCATACCACTTTCCAAAGGTGTACTTAGCACAACAAAAGAGTACCAAAAGGTGGTTTACAGAGAAATGTCACTAGCACA